TGTGGGGTCCTCCCGGACCGGGGCACGAACCCGTGTCCCCTCCATCGGCAGGCGGACTCTCAATGACTGCGCCACCAGGGAAACCCTCACGTGTTTCTTGAGAGAGGGTTCATAGCTTTCATTAGATTCTCAGAGAGGTCTCTTACTCCTGAGAGGAAAGAACCTCTGCTTTGGGATTTAAATCTTGGACTACCAGTAGGAAAAGCAATAGCTGACATCCACTGGGCTCCGACCACACACCAGGCATCGCTGAGCACTTTACGTGTATTACTTCATTTGAGCCTCCAGACCCTGTGAGGAGAGTATTATGATTATCCTTTTCTTACAGATGAAGAGGTGGAGGCACCAAGAATAGCACATTTGTCCCAGAATGATGCAGTTTGCTGGAGCTGACACTTAACACAGATAATCGGATTCTAGAACCCTTAGCCAATCATGGTAGGGCCTCCACGCCAAGCCAGATAGCTCCATAATGACTCTGGGATGCAGCCGGCTTTAAAGTCCCTTTCCTTCTTGACGCCACTGCCTGAATTCTAATATATGCTTCCACTGGCCCTCATTAGCACTGTTGTTAGCCACCCGGTTTCCACATCCCTGGAAGGGTGGGGGAAGAAGGTTGTCTCTGGGAATTCGGATCTGTTTAATTTTGAATCTTAGTTCCGTGACCCAGCTGTCCTAAGTGTGAGCCCTGGAACCAAGAATATGTGGCCCTTGCCTCAGGGTTACCATGAGCATAAAATAAGATGATCATGTACCTGAAAGAACTTTGGAAGACATGAATGCTGTGGGCTTTTGTGTCAGGATAATGACATCTGTATTTTCCCACACAGAGTGGGCAGCTTCAGACCTCAGAAGGATAGCACCCTCCTGGTCCAAAGGGTATGAGACCTGGGACTGTTTGTCTAAGCTGCCTGTGGTCAAAAGTACATTCTGGACAGAAGAGCTGGTGATGTAACTGGGCTCTGTGTGTGTATTGAAAAATCCCTCTTTGCTCTTTCCTCATTTCGGGTTTGTCCTTTGAGTCAAGTCAAATATTTATCGAGCCTTTCTGAGTACAAAAGTAGTGTATTAGAGACTTGTGAGGGATACAGAAGTAGAGCCCCTTTCCTTATGGAGTGTGCGGTCTCATCGAAGAGCAAGGACAGCATGAGTGTATATGAAGGGAGACGTGTGGTAAGTTCAAGTGCAGGCCACAGTCGGTGCTGCCCGGAGGATTTCAGGAGAGGGGGGAACTCTGGGTTGAAGAATGAAGGCAGGCAGATCAGGCCGAAGGATTTGAACACTTTGGTTGGTGGAGCTGGGGGTGGTGCTGTCGGTTTGGGGATGAACACCGAGCAGACCAGGGGGTCCAATCTCAAGATCTGGGAGGGCCCAGAGTTACTGAGAGATTCTCCTTAGCATGAGGAAGCTGGATCTTTTGTGGATGTTCAGGATGGGTCAGAAAGGGGAGCCGGATGCCAGTCAAGTTCTTTGCTCAGTCTCTGAGCATATTGTTTCTGCAGCTCAAATGAAAATTAAATGTGTTATTGACAGGAATTTTCGAACAGTTGGGCGAGGCTGGGCAGACTACACACCTTGTTTTCCCTGTTGGACTTGCTGCCTGGGGTTTGGATCAGAGTAGTGGGAAGATCACATATTGTTACTTGTCTGTTTTTGGTAGCCCCTCGTCCCACATACGCAGCTGCCCCTTGACCGTACAGTGAACGTCGGAAGTGCTTAGTACATATTTACTTCTTATTTGGTAGGTGGAATTGGGGAGCCAGTCTCTGTAACAAAGTCTAATTTTAGGTAATAGTTTACACTTTCTCAAGCACCAGTCTTTTCATATGAGTTGCTAATATCTTTCTCCTTTCCTTTCTGAGGGTGCCCTGTTGTAAAAGTGCTAATTATCAATATTTTGACCACAGGGTAGCAGTTGTGAGGAGCCTGTATCATCCATAAATAGAATCATCAGCACTTAAATAACTGAAAATAGGCTCTTAAGTTAAACACAAAAACCTGTTTATACCTTTATAAACGGCCCCACTATGCTCTTTCACTGATGTTTTTCTGCCTTTCCTGTCAGCCTACCAGGGGGTGGATTGGGTCACACAGGGGCCCAGGTCAGGCCCAGTGTGGTGTCTGTTCTGGCCTTAGGTTCCTAAGAGAAAGACTCAATGATTACAGCAGTGGGGATGGTCAGAGAATACTTCAGAGGGAGCCTGACTCATGCCCTACAGAGGGGCAATTGCCTTTACTTGTTCCAAAATTGAGGTGAACCATTTCTAGGGGAGGAGGGATGGGTAGGCAGTCTAGAGCAGGGTTGACAGCTTTTATTTTATACTTGGCAAGTGTCTATATTGTTTAGATGTTTTTCACCGAGGGCTTTTTATAACAGTACAAAAAATTATATAATAATACAATAATAATAAATAAAAAGAATAATGTAAAAATTAAGTTATGGTACTACAAAGTTAAGTAATTAAATACGGGTGGAGAATAGAATGGATTAGAAGTCCCAGTTTGTTATGACAGTTCCACAAATATTTGCTAGCTTTATGACTGACTTTTCTCTGTTGTGGAGTCCAAGCAGAATGACACCCTTAACTCCAGGTTGCAGGTATTCGGTACGCGTATCACCTCAGATGGCAAACCGGATTGTGGATTCTGCAAGGAGCATCCTCAACAAGTTTATACCCGATATCTATATTTACACAGACCACATGAAAGGAGTCAACTCTGGGAGGTAAGCGTCTGTGCCTTTTTGGAGCCTAATTCCCTAGCCACCCTAGCCTTTATCATACTCCTAGTCTGATTGAAGCTAAAGTTGCCAGCTCTGAGGTTGGGCAGCCAGAGGAAGAATGATTCACAGTTTTTTTTTCCTTCCAACTTACCGCCATTGTCAGCAACAGGCATCTTTTGAGCACCTATCACATGGAAAGCGTCACAGTGCCCAGTGCTGGGTGATGAGGGGTTGAGACGCCAGCCTAGGGGAATTAAAGCCCAGCTATTAATAAACAGTGCCGCAAGCTTTAAATCTCATCTGTCCTCTGTTCCCACAAAAAATTAAAGTAAACAAGTTCTTCCATCCTGTGTAAATAGCAGTTTAGGGGAAAAAATCCTTTGTTGGTTTAAGTGCCAGTCGGCTTCTCTCTCCATCAAGGGGAAAAACACCCCTAGAGCCAAAGAAAGTTGTTATTGCAGATTTGAGTTTGCTTTAGTTAGAGCCTTTGCAGACCTTACTTTAGAAAATAAAAAGTTAATGATGATCTGTGTAATGAAAATATCTGTTTTAAGCTTTGGTTGTATATTTAGAAACCAGCGAGTTAGGGAAGCAATTAAAACCTAATTTTTTATTATGAAAATGTTAAGTATACAGAAAAGTTGAAAGGATAATACCGTGAACACTTGTATATTCCTACTACTTGTAGTTAACAATGAATATTTTGCCAAATTTGCTTTCCTTGTGCGTGGGTTTTTTTTGTTTTTGCCTAACCATTTCAATGTGAATGACAGTATCTTTACACTTTGAATCTGAAGTTTTCAGGTTGTGTCTTCTAAAAATAAGAACATCAGAGACTGACTGTTGTGGGATAAAAAATCAGTTTTTTCCTAAGTTGTACCACAGCTCATCCTTTTTCATAGCTCTTCTGTCTGAGCTTTCTTTAACTTCAGGAAAAGAAGGAAAAAGAGGGTAAAGGAGGGGTGAGTGTGTTATGGGATCTCAGACCTTCATGAGGCCCAAGGGAAAGATGAAGGTGATTTCAGAAATGCAGTGGTGGCTCACAGTCCAGAGCAACAGAGGTGGTGATGTCAGAGGTTAGAGTTGGGAAAGGGTTTGTGTGCAGAGCTGGCCCTTTTTCTGGGAGTTGGAAACGTCAGTGATGGTCCCAAACCTTTGGTGTATTGCTCAAATACCATCAGTGTTTTCCTCATTCATAATGTGGGAGTGATAATAACTGCATCCCTAGGTTACTGTAAAGATGAAAAAAAGGTCACACATGTAAGCCACCAATGCAATGCCTGGCACATAATAGGTGCTACAGAAATGGTAGCTGCTAATGCTGTTATTTCCTTTCTCTTCTCTTCTTGGCCACAGGCCTGGAACTATGTGTCAGCTGTTTTCTGGGGAGAGGGGATTACGAGGGATGGGGGAGGATAGGTAGCAGTAGCAGCTGTCTGAATGGCCTGACTCGATAGTGCCTTGTCGTCCGGCCTCTCACTCTACACAGAAGCAGAGCAGACCTGAAGGCCATGCTGCCTCCAGCTAGAGTGTGGCTTTTTATAATGCCATCGACTCAGCGGACACTAGTGCTGGTCAAGGCCCATACTTGCTAATAATGAGTAGGAAGCTCACACATGGATGGAGATGTGGGCATAATGTAGCCTTGTGGGTTATCAACTCCAAGCTCCACTTTAAAATTTACCTCTAAAACCAATGCATGATGTTAAGTTTGTGTTCCGTTTTCTAAATCTCAAGCTACGGTTGACAAACGGTGATCTTCCTTCTCCATTATGAAATTATAAAGTCGTGGGTAGGTATTCTCCTCTTCTAATTCAGTGAAGTATCCACGTAAGTTAGGCTTATTGAAGTCTGGGAGTGAGAGTTATGTGTGTCCATGGCCTGGAACCTTGGTGGGCAGCAATTTTTGGTGGGCTGTGCCAGCTCTTTGTCCAGTGCACATGTGTCCAGTGTGGTCCCATTTTGATTCTCACAGTCATGACTTTTTGAAAAATCTAGTCCCTCACCAGTTGGAAAGTTTTGGAGGCTGTCATTGGCAAACTGTACCAATGTGCATCTTCAGTGAGGTCACTTGGTGATCAACTACATTGTCAGCATAACTTGAAATAGGCCTGATAATACACATACCCCAAATTGGGGGGCGGGGTGGGGATTGGTGTAGAGTTCATAGAGCTTAATGTGTTATTGTGTTGTTTTCTCTAAAACAAATACAATATCAAATGGAACGGTCTTGATTAAATATGAAGTTCATTGCAATAAGTACACACGCCTCAAAAATTTCACATGGATGGAAAAGTTTAGAAGTTCTTAGGAAATGCATGTAAGTGGGTTAGAGCAGTGATGGTGGCGTATCTCCCTGCATTTTCTCCTCTTTATTTTGGCATGCCACTGCCTCTACTGATGAGCTGGGTGCCCAATCCCTCCTCCTGGTCAAGTGACTCATCGGCAACTTGAGATTGTGCTTTAAATGTCCCATGATGATGCTGGGTGGTATGGTGTTAGATTGTTAAGTGTGACTCAGAGTGCCCTGGAACCGGCATTCTCACTGCACCCTCTTGCCTTGGCAGGTGTTATTAATCCTTGGCTACATAGACAAATCACTTTTTTTTTAAAGAAATTAAGGACTGACCAGTATAGTTCCTCCCTATTGTGAGCTCATACATAGTACATTTGAAACATAAATTTTACGCGTAGTTTTTCTGAAACAAATATTTTGGCTGGTTTTGTGCTAGATGCGTAGAAAGTGCTTCATGAATATGTATGTTGGATTGTGTTAAAGGAGGCTTTATTAAAGCTGTATTGTGCTTGCATGTGGAGTGTACTGCTGGGAAGTAGGTACAGTCGACGCTGGAACAACGCTAGGGTTAGGCATGCTGACCTTCCCTGCAGTCAGAGGCCTGCGTGGGACTTAACACCGTTGACCCTCCACATCCTCGGATTCAACCAACTTAGGATCACGCAGTACTGTAGTACATATTTAGTGAAAAATGTCTATAAGTGGACCTGTGCCGTTCAGACCCGTGTTGTTCAAGGGTCAGCTGTGTGTGTTTAAGAGGCACTGGGCAAGGTAGACGTGAGGTGTCAAATCCGGAAATTTTGTGGAGAGATGCTTGTTTTTATTGTTTGTGGACTGATTTTGTTTTGTATCCAACTGGTTGTCACTAAGCCTCGTGAGAGCAGGGACTCCTGTGCTTACCGTGGCGCCCCAGTTCCCGGGTCTGTGGAAGCTTTCCCCCAAATGTTTGTTGGATGTACGCGTACATGAGTCATTTGTGGTCCTGGACAGGAAGGGTGTTAGGGTCTAGCTGTTGGTGGTTGAAACACACAGGTGAGAACATGGTTCTGGCTTGTTGATTATATTAAGTGAATTCTGAGTTAGAGATGTCCCTTGGGGACAAAAACATTAAGGTGTGACTTCTCTAGGCCCTTTCTCCTCGTGTGGTATTTCTCATCACGGGGGGACAGCCTGCTGTCTCTCAAGGAGAGCTGTAATCAGATGGTCTCCAGGCTGCTTGTACTTCTGGGCTGGTTGTGACTGAGGGCTGAGCAAGTGCCATGGTGGAGAACTTGCGTGGGCTTTGGAGTCTGGAAGATCTGTGTTTGAAGCGCATCTCAGTCTCTTTCTAGCTGTATGGACTTGGTGCAGGTCGCTTGATTTGTCCATTTCCTCAGTTGTAAGGTGGGGATGGTATTATTTACTCTGCAGAATAGTGTCGAGCCCCTACCTCAGAAACTAGGGGCTCTATATGTTGATTGTTACAAACTCTCACAGCAGGATCTTTTACAATGTAGTGAGTGGGGAAAGGTAAGGGAGAGCTAGGGGAAGGGAGTGCTGAAAAGAAAAGCAATGCAAATTTGCCTCACCTTTGGTTCTGTCACGTGTGTGCCCTCACTGCGTCATGTATATGTCCAGTGTGAGCTGGGAGGGACTGTAATATTAAAGACCTGATGTGACCAGACAGAATGATATCAAAAAGATGTTTGTCTTCTCTTTTTACCGGTGAATGTGAACCCTACTTCGTATGCTACTCAGTATCTGTGCCTTTGAATCCCCAGGTCTCCGGGCTTTGGACTGTGGCTGGTTGCTGAGACCACCAACGGCACCTTCCTCAGTGCTGAACTTGTCTCCAACCACCAGGGCCAGGGGGCAGCGGTGCTTCCCGAGGACCTCGGCAGGAACTGTGCCAAGCTGCTGCTCGAAGAAATCCATAGGGTATGTCCTCCGCTTCTGCAGGTCCGGGAGAGGAGCCATCAGGAAGCAGTTCTTTGTCTGTCATTTTTATTCGTTAGCAACTTTTTTCCTCTTTTAAGGGCTTCAGTCAAGGAGTTAGCCTCTTCCTACCCTTTAGACAGTTTAGCATTGAGTAGCTTAATGGAGTAGCTAAACTAGTCAGTGAGCAGAGGCCCAGCCCCACTGGTTTGTTACATATGGCAGGTAAGTTTTTATATATATATATAAATTTATTTATTTATTTATTTATTTTAAATGTTTGGCTGCATTGGGTCTTCGTTGCTGCACGCGAGCTTTCTCTAGTTGCGGCGAGCGGGGGCTGCTCCTCGTTGCCATGCCCAGGCTTCTCATTGTAGTGGCTTCTCTTGTTGCAGAGCACAGGCCCTAGGTGCATGGGCTTCAGTAGTTGTGGCACGTGGGCTCAGTAGTTGTGGCTCGTGGACGCCAGAGCACAGGCTCACTAGTTGTGGTGCACAGGCTTAGTTGCTCCACGGCATGTGGGAGCTTCCCGGACCAGGGATCAAACCCGTGTCCCCTGCATTGCCAGGCGGATTCTTAACCACTGCACCACCGGGGAAGTCCTGGCGGGTAAGTTTTAATGATCGGGAGGGAGGACAGAGAACTGGAACAGAGTCATACAGGAGAGAGAAGGTGAAAAATGAAGCAGGTTAGGCAGTGCCTGGCCAATTGAAGAGCACACATCCGCCGGAGCAAAGCAGGGACCTTCTCTCAGCCCCCTGTCATTGCCATAGGGGGATGGGGGCTCATTCTTTTCAGATTTTTCAAGAGAAGCTGGAAACCTGGATTTGTGTGTGACATTTAATTCAGGTAGAAAACAGTGTCAACAGGCTCGATTTTGTAGGGTGCTTGGGAGCACATAGAAGAGTGTCTAGGGAAGGCCACCCTGTGTCAGAGCACAGTAGGGGCTTGGGAAGAGGGGACAAAGAAAAGGTGACACGATGCTGAAGACAAGACTGCACTGATTACCATTTTGCTTCTGCTGCCCTACTGGTGGGACACGGCATAGACCAGTCTGGCCAAGCCTGTCCCCTCGGTTGCCACAGTCCTTTTTCTCTGTTGATCCATAAGAGCAACACGCACATATGTACACACACACTTTACTCTGTTTCCCAGGGACAGCTGAGGCGACCCAAAATAAGCAAGGAGGAAATTGGGAGAGAAGGAAAGATGATGGCAGGAGAAATAAGATAAGCTGCCTGAAAATTCATTCCTTAAGATCCCATATACTTGGTTAGAGGAGAGTCACAAACCTGTCTCCAAGATTTCTGTTAGTCTGCACCTCAGGAAGGTGAAACATTTTCCTTGACATGCAGAATCCAGGACAGGCTCCAGGGATGATCAGTCCTCTGCTGTGGATGCACACTGGGGCCCACATTCTTAAACTGAGCACTAGCAAGAACTATACACTCATCTCTTTTGGTGTCCACAGGTGATTTGTTCCAGGACCCCTCCTCCCCCCAGTGGATACCAAAATCCGTGGATGCTGAAGTCTGTGTTTCATTACTCACCTCCCACCCCCGCCACCCCCAGTATCCACAGGCTCTGTATCCGCTGATTCAGTCATCTGAAATTGAAAATCAGTCTGTGGTTGGTTGAACCTGTGGATGTGGAGGGCCGACTGTACTCTGGGTGATTCGCTATTGGATGGTGTAGAGTGTTTGTAAATTGTCTTTTTTCTCCAGCTGAAGAGCTGAAGAGCCTTTCATCTCTGTGCTTTCTGTGTATTTATTCTCAGTTACTAGACATCTCTGTGGTTCTTTCCTGAAGTCTTCTAGGAAGTTTTGCTCTGTTTAAAGTCGCAAAAATCACACGTGAGCCCAGTGAAATAAAATCAGTAAGGCTGGTACAGTGGTGATTTTGTTCTTTAATTCTTCCTTTTGCCACTGTGATTTATTAATCAGTGTGGCAAGGTGATGCCTAGGTCATGGGTATTGATCCCTGCACAGGCCTCACTAAGGAAAACAGCTTATTGCCACAGTCTACTCCCCTGATCAAAGTCAGCATTTTTGAAAATATCTCATTGGTCACAAGGTGGAACAAGTAGGAATGAACTGTTTCAAAGTTCATTAAAATTTCCAGCTTATTTAGTGTCTGTCTAATTAAATGGAAGGCAAAGAACCTATAACTGTGTCCTCAGTAGAGGGACCCCATTCCCTCCACTCACCATTCAGCTAGGAAATAGTGGAGGAAGAAAATAGTCTATCACAAGAAATCCCTCGGAGCGAGGAAATATCTTCTCATAATTCTTGAGCAGTCAAGATCTGGCCTCAGCTTTTTCAATGCAAAGTCTTTCCAATGTTTGATGCTAAATTTAGTGATTTTTGAAAGATGGATAGTAACTAAAAGTTGGGAGTAAATGACCAAGAGGTTGCCCTGCCAGTTACTCAGTTCAGGAAGTTTGTCATCTAGATATTTGTGAAGAAAGACTGCTGGAGACACACATGGGTCCCTCAGCTGCTATTGACTCGTGCAGGTTTCCCTGCCTTGGCCCTGGGGTGGCTGGCAGGCCTTCTCTCTGACTGTGGGGACACATCCTTCTCTTTCCAGTGGACCTGGGGGATTTGGATGTATCCCATTACAGGATAGCCCAGTGGGAGCCCCTGGGCACAGCTGGAATATGGGTTTTGTATCTCCGTAAATGGCAGAGTAAAAGCCTCAGGGTGAAAGCACAGTCCACCAGTCCCCAAGAGCGAAAACATGCAATCTGGATTAGGTTATTTTATTTTATTTTTTCTTTACTCTAGTTAAGTTCTGCTTTAAATCGTTCAGTAGTGGCTGGACTGAGTTTTTTGTTTTAAGTCATTAAGAAAACTTCTTTTGTGTGTGTCTATGATCTTTAATTGCTAAAAGGATGAAAATGCATGCAGTTTTTTTTTTGTTTTTTTGTTTTTTTTTTGCGGTATGTGGGCCTCTCACTGTTGCGGCCTCTCCCATTGCGGAGCACAGGCTCCGGGTGTGCAGGCTCAGCGGCCATGGCTCACGGGCCCAGTCACTCCGCGGCATGTGGGATCTTCCCGGACCGGGGCACGAACCCGTGTCCCCTGCATCAGCAAGCAGACTCTCAACCACTGCGCCACCAGGGAAGCCCCTGCATGCAGTTTTTATAATAATTCTTTGTAAGTCTGTGATGTGACATGGTTTAAATAAGTAATAAAAATCCATCCCCTTTGGTACCATTTATTTTTGCCTAAGTTTTAATCCTCTGATCTGATTCCTCTTGTTCCATTTCTGTCTCATCAGTTACCAAGCCCTCTTGGTTCTGTCCCAGGCTTTCTGGAACTGCCCTTTCCTATCCTTCTCTCTGCCCCCATCTACCACCCTCCTCCTTTCCATTCCCCCCTCCCCCGACATAGGTACTGGCTCTCCCTACTTGCAGAGGGGAAATCCTTTCCATACCCTCTCCAGCATCCTCTTCAGCCTAAATCTCCCCCTAAAGCTGCGATCTGATCTTGGTACTCCTGTGCTCGGAGACCTTCACCAGCTTCTCACTTCCCCAGGATAGAGTCAAAACCCATGGCCCAGTTAGAAAAGCCCCACCTCAGTCTGCCTACTCCACCTTATCCCTGAAGTTCTGCATACTTCTCCACAGAGAGCAGACAGCCACTCTCAGGCTGGCCTCCTGGCTGGTCCTTGCTGGCCCTGGGTTGTATCTCCCCCATCCTCCTGCTCTTCCTCCCTCTCTAAACCCTGCGCAGCGCTCCAGGGCCAGCTCAAGTCCCCACCTCCCCAGAGCCTCCCTCTGGTGCCAGGGGAGTGACAACCCTTCTCACACCACCTTGGCAGTCCCGGTGCCCACAGACCCCAGCTGCCGCGTAACTTTGTCTTCACCTTCACTTGTTACTGGTTCCTGCTCATATTTCGTCTTTGTAATAAGATTGAAGCTACTTTGCACAAGGCTTGTGTCCTGCTGTCCGGGCGGCCCCACCACTTCCTCTGTTGTATCCTGTACACAGACCCTAATATATTTATTGCAGTAAAATGTTGGTTCAGTACATAATAAAAATCAATTGAGGGCTTCCCTGGTGGTGCAGTGGTTGAGAGTCTGCCTGCCGATGCAGGGGACACGGGTTCGTGCCCCAGTCCAGGAAGATCTCACACGCCACGGAGCAGCTGGGCCTGTGAGCCATGGCCGCTGAGCCTGCGCGTCCGGAGCCTGTGCTCTGCAACGGGAGAGGCCGCAACAGTGAGAGGCCCGCATACCGCAAAAAAAAAAAAAAAAAAAAAAATCATTTGAGAATAGCAGAATAGCAACATAGTGCTAGGAAGCGGAGACTGAAGAGAACAGTTTAATTTTAGGCAGTCTCATGAAAAGGAGCAAGTTCTGTAAAACAGATAGTTTTGTTAAATCTTCTTATGTTAATATATTTTGTTATATATTCTTTTTTTTTTTTTTTTTTTTTTTTTTTTTTCAGGCCTCTCACTATCGCGGCCTCTCTTGTTGCGGAGCACAGGCTCCAGACGCGCAGGCTCAGTAGTTGTGGCTCACGGGACTAGTTGCTCCATGGTATGTGGGATCTTCCCAGACCAGGGCTCGAACCCGTGTCCCCTGCATCGGCAGGCGGACTCTCAAGCACTGCGCCACCAGGGAAGCCCTGTTATATATTCTTTTATTCTCCATGGGTCAGGTTTTCCGTTTAGATGGAAATATATGTGCTGGAACTCCTCTCTTCCTAAAATTTGCTAAATGAGATAAATATTGTCCTTTATTAACTCAGGTAGATGAGGAAGAGCAGTAGGTTTCATAAAGGCTGGCAGTAGGACCCACTTCTGATTTTCCTACTCCATTGTCCTCAATGAAGTCTAACAGCAGAGAATGAGTGTCTGTACCTGAGAATCGATTTATTCCCTACCTTATGTGCATTAAAAAAGGAGAGAGGTGTACCCACATAAGCAGCAGTGGGTGACCACTTGTCCCATTCCAAGTCTGGGAGAGTCTAGCCTTGAACAGTGATGTGCCATGGTTAGAAACTGGATTTCTTGTTGTGAAATATGCAAAGTATGTAGACATTCAAGGTCATCCTGCTTTCAGTATGTACAGTGTAAATTTAAACTGTTGTAAATAAAGTTATCCCAGAGAGGATGATCTGAAATAAAGGCATTCTTCAAGGCACAAATGGAAGCAGCAGTAATGCATGCATCAAGCAGAAGCAAAATGGCTGAAGTGGTTGAAAAATTCGAGAATGAAAGAAGAAAGGCAACCAAAGCAGTTGTTCTTCAGGAGAAAGTTTTTGAAGAGAATTTTGTCCTGCTTATTGATTTGGAAGAACAGGGAAAATGGGGGAAAATAATGCATAAATAATAAGAATGGAGGGATCTGGTCTGAACAGTTCTCTAGTTCTAAGGCACACAGGAAGAGTTAAAGAGGGGAATCTAACGTGACATGGCAGGCAGTTTCTGAATGTCATTGAATGTGTTGTAGGTAAGACCCTTGAAAGGGAAGGGTCCTCTCATGTCAGATTAGCTGTGGTGTTCTATGACAGATTAAGTAAGTAGAAATGTCATTCACTTAACCCTTGGTAATTACGCATTGCCTATAAATGATTATGCTTTTTTGCTTTTATGTTCTGCTATGGCTTTAAGTACCAAAGCAAAGTTTCATTTTTCACTAGATATACCTCGGTAAACTTAAATGTCTATTCATTCTGATAGTCTCAGCTCTTACAATTGTTTTGATTAACTGTTAGTTTAACCCCCTACAGTTACTTGATATGAGGATAACTCTTTAAAAGACACTTATTCTGTTTTATTATTGCTTGAACTTTGCCATCTGCTCTTCTGTGGTTCTGATACTCTGGGCATCTGTGTCTGTTTTTTTTTTTCCCTCTGTTTTGTTGGTTTTCCATTATCTGGTTTGGTACAATGATTAATCCTTAAAGTGTTTGTGTTTACAGGGTGGATGTGTAGACTCGACCAACCAAAGCCTGGCTCTGTTACTCATGACCCTTGGACAGCAGGATGTTTCCAAAGTCCTTCTCGGACCACTCTCTCCCTACAC